ACAAGGTTACCCGGATACGTCCCCTTCTTTGAGTAGTGGACCGAAGAGGGGGGGGGGTAACCACAACCCGGTTCTCTTTTTTCGTCTTTTTGTCTTAACTGTTTCTTATCATTTTGACAAATCTGCTGCAGAGCGAACTAGAAAAGGATGCTGACGAGTCTTTATATATATATACACATACACATACATGGGGACGGTTTCACGGTTGAATGAAGGCAAATATGCCATGTATAATCATGTATACATATATGTGTACGCACGTTTGGGAACAACATCCTCATGCCTTTTTGGGGATACTTGAGCTGCACGTGCCCTCTTTGACCTATTTGAAGTCTCCAAAGACGCCAAATCTGAACCCAAAACGGACGGTTTGAGAATAGATGGCACAATCTCCAAGATGACTTTTAGGGGTCCATATATGAACCATTATGAACCACATTGAACCACCACGTGGAGATTGCGCCATCTAAAATCTAGCCTGAATCCACCCGCATCCTCACTGCCAGGTCACCAATGAGTTGACCCTCGAATGAGGAGACATGAGGAAACCCAGCAGAGTTGGATGCTGGTATATGGATGTATTTGTATATGGCACTTACATTCCTCACCAAATTCACCAATGGTATGTCCTTGATCCCATCGATGGTCCCCCCTGCCCGCAAGATTCACAGACCGGCCTTGGGTGGAACTCTCATTTGCCCTTCGTGTGGGTGTTGAGGCATGTCGGCTTTGCCACTAGCGCACCTTGAGGTTGGGCGAGATCCTGAACCCCTGCTTGGACAAGTTCCTTGCGACCAAGTCCTACTACGACATTTGCAAGAAACACGCCTCTCGCCTCCCGCGATGGCGATGAAGGGGGGGAGTTCCCCCCCGGGCGGATGGTTCGGGAAACCCAAAGTCACTGCTCTCTGTATATAGGTTCAGTAGAAGAGAGCCGACTCACTGTATAGGTTCAGTGTTTGATTCCAGTAGAAGAGACAGCCTAATGGTCCAGTCAAGCCAGTCACGTCTGCACCATGCTTCATGGTGTAGCCTTGCCGACTCGTAACCCTCTTGCACGTCATTGGCCATTGGTGGTGTTTTCCCAGCCCAAAATAGGGCTGAAAGATCAAGGAGTTCATTCACAAACCCTCCAAATATGGCATATTTACCTTCATTCACCTCAGAAACCACCGCATTGTATGTTAATATTCCATACATGGAGTGTTTGGGCTTTGCTTTTGTTTGGGGCTTAGACATGGAGAAATCGAAAACACAAAGAGAAAACCATTTGGAGAAGATTCGTTTGGAGCACTTGTGGAGATGAGTTCCCTGATGTTGTATGTCAATCCTTCAGACTATGTCAATCCTTTAGACTTGCTTCTGGTACTGTTGGGGGGCCGGTGGCTAAGGCAAAGCCTCGTCTCATTTTAATTGGTGTCTCCTGGTGGCCAAAGCAAGGGGTTGACTGGTAGAGATAATCAAGTCTCCTGCGCATAAAGGCAAGACCACGTTTTGCCCATCACCTCATGCTGTCCCAAGAGGGTTCGTGCCACTTCCACGGTTCGTGTCATGCTTGAACCTTTCAGATGGTGGGAATTGGGGCATTTCTGTTGTCAGCTGTGCACTTGTATGTCTTCGGCATGTCTTCAATCTCCTGTTACATGCTTGAACCCCCTGATAATCCATTTCCAAGTTCCGCTTTGCAGATTCACCAGAAGAAAGGGCCTGCTGAATGCCAAAAGAAGGTCCCACCACAAGGCTTTGTGAAGCTTTGAGTGTATCCAAAGACGGATCCAAACAAACACTCGTGCGCTTTCGCGCCCGTGCGCGAGTGTATCCAAAGTGTACACACGCCCGCGCACGCACACGCGCGCGCCCACACACACTCTGACAATTGTATTCAGGTATCTCAATTCCCACGTTGGGAAGGAAGGTGATGGAACGGCATGGCGAAAAAGTCGGCAAGAACTGTATGGTTGAACAATGTTTGCACTCTGACAGTCAGTGTGGTTGCAAGTCTGCTGCAAGTGTGCGGTGGGAAACCTGTTTGTGGGGAAAGTATCATGAAAACCACCAGGGAAACAAAGAACAGCAGCGAGGGGAACCAGTGGAGTCAGTATGTTCAAAGCAGGTACAGGAAGGTGATCAGCCTTCCCTTCCCATCCATGACCGCAGCTTCGTCGCACACGGTAGGTCATGGATGCCGTGTGCCCCTGCTAGTGAAACAATTGGCAGTGGAGGTCAAGAAAGGAAACCCTTTGACCAGGGGGCGACATACACAGGTCGCCGTCGTCGGCGCTTTTTCAAAAACCGGTGGCAGGCTTGGTGGTTGTGTCCTTTTTGACACACTCCGCCGCTTTGCGGCTCTCTGGCATAAAACGGAAAGTAGTCACCTAAAAAGCCTTGGAAACAAAAGAAAGGAAAGACAGAAAGAGCAGCGCTAAGAGGGCAAGAAAGAAAGATAGGTGTAGAAAAAATGAATACTTAGCCCTTGACTGGGGTAGGGAAACGAGCCTGAAGAACAACCTAAAAAGCCTGAGAGAAAGCCCAACAAACGACGGATAGCGCAAGAAGGAAAGTGGGGGGGCAGGGAGGGGATGTATGTGCATGTGTGTGTACATGTGTGTGTGTGTGACTACCTAGCTCTCTAGAGTTACTGAATACTTAGACGAAAAATTACGTGCAGTAGTTAGGGAGCGGGACTTTAGTCTTAGACCGCCCGGGTAGAGAAGACTAGAACAGGAACAACACAGGGAAAGGCACCGACACACAAGTGTGTCGAGTACCATTTCCCTATGTTGCCCTAATTAGGTGGGGAGTAGAACTCGGCGGGCGGGGGGGTTGGGGAAACCTGTCTGATTGGGGTACCGTTTTTAAGCCCGGCGGCTATGGAGACCCGTGGTAAGGCCCGGCGGCCGTGGTAGCGGTTGATTCTGTGGGAGTGTAGGTGAGTTCCAGTGAAGTTCCTGTGAGCGGTGGTAAGTTCAGTGAATGCTTTCCCAATGAAACAGCGCCCCAATGACGGGGATCACACTCAGCACCCGAGTGGGACGGCTGAGCGAAACACACTCTGACAAGTGTATTCAGGTATCTCAATTTCCACGTTGGGAAGGAAGGTGATGGAACGGCATGGCGAAAAAGTCGGCAAGAACTGTATGGTTGAACAATGTTTGCACTCTGACAGTCAGTGTGGTTGCAAGTCTGCTGCAAGTGTGCGGTGGGAAACCTGTTTGTGGGGAAAGTATCATGAAAACCACCAGGGAAACAAAGAACAGCAGCGAGGGGAACCAGTGGAGTCAGTATGTTCAAAGCAGGTACAGGAAGGTGATCAGCCTTCCCTTCCCATCCATGACCGCAGCTTCGTTGCACACGGTAGGTCATGGATGCCGTGTGCCCCTGCTAGTGAAACAATTGGCAGTGGAGGTCAAGAAAGGAAACCCTTTGACCAGGGGGCGACACACACACACACACACGTGTGGAGACCTCGCAGTCAGACATTCAGTAACCCCGCTGATGTCGGTTTGGGAAATCGACCAGTCTACCCAGCCAGGGCGATCGGGGTTCGGCGTCTCCCGAAAAGTACACCGAATAAACTGCACGGTTGAAACGTATATGTTCAAATTTGTTGTTTTCTTCGCCGCGATTCTCGCGCCCAGGGTGTGCCGGAGCAATGCTTTCCCAACAGCCACTTCCCATCCAATGAAACAGCGGTGAAGATTACTCCCCACTATGCCACCGACGAGCTTACCACGACCTGCGCGGACGGCTGCTGGAAGGAACACCGAGATCGGGGTGCAGGGTTGAACGGTTAGGTTAGAAGGACGGTAGATATAGGACATGATGTCGGACAGTTCAGATCCCAGACCATCCATGTATATAATATGTTTTTTTCATATTGTTATATATATATAGTTTTATCTTATGTGTATGTAATAGTATATGAAATAGTTACAACATTACATTAGGGTCATACATGAGGTAATATGTATATGTAATTAACTATTCCATACATGGATGGTCTAGGGATGCTTGATGCACGTTGACGCACATTGACGCACAGTTGTGCGATTTGGAGGCTGCAGTTGATTATTGGATGGATGCAACCTTGCCTACAGGAGTCCCCCACCTGCTCACACGCAGAGTAGGAACCTTTTTCCAGGCCAGGCCGGAAAGGTAGAAGTTTCAGCGAAGGATCTACACTCCCTGAAACACAGATGGAAGTGGACAAACCCCTGTTTGTAGAGGAACCTCGTATTCCAGAAGGCCCTTGTCCATGATTGGAGGGCGGGGAACTGTTGGTTTGGCCCAGTCATGGTTTGATGCGATCTGCGGATCGGTGATGGGCGGTTTGAGTCAATTGGGTGAGTCAATCGGAGCAGCAAAATGCAACGTTTGGTCGTTGATGTGTGAATGTGGTGAAGTGCAACGTGTCTTGATACCGTGTGCGATCTTGAATCTACACTGAAAGGACATGTCCATGTCTTGACACTTGCCACTGAAAACAAGTAGTTTTGAAAGGGTTTGCAACTTCTCCCTGAAGACTTTGCTTTTTGTGCGCTTTCCAAGGCTTTCCCCTCCAATTGCCTCTCTAAGAAAAGTCGTGACTTTTCGATGCTTTTCTTTGGACATCTCCACCTGCCACTCCGCCATGAAGACCACCGGACGGAAGAACACCCAGCGCAAACGGCGCGCAAACGGCCACAGGGCGAGGCACCAAGCGTGGGTCCGACTGATTGCACCAAGATAGTAGCTTTTTGTTCCTAGTAGTGAACATTGCTCCTAGTAGTGCGGCCAGGAGCCCCTAGTAGCGTTCTTGCTCCTAGTAGCGATGCCAGGAGCCCCGAACGTAGCTTCTTGGTCCGACTGATTGCGCTCCGCTAAGGCTATTGCCCCTGCCCCGCGTGAGGGGCGATCTGCCAAAGTGCCATGCCCCACGTGCACTACCTGAGTTGGTCCAAGTCAAGCGATGACGGCCGCGTATTATCAGGTTGGCACGTAAATTCTAGCCGTGAGGTACAGCGGAATCACCACGAGACAAAGATGAAGGTGTTCTGGTAGAGCAGACCAGCTTGATTGGGCAGAAATTGTCGGCACAAACTGGATGCCGAACATCAGATGGCTGTGAGGTCCTCCGGGCTGACTCCTGGCTGAGGGTACATTGGATTCTAGGGTGTTGTCAGATTCAAGAAATGAGGCAAGATGGGCCCCACAGCCAGAGATGCCAATTTGTTTCACCATCCTTGTGCCCCCCTTTGGTGCGCTTTGGTGATTTCAGTGCCAAACTGCAGCGCTCAGCCGTCCTCCGCTGGCTGAGAGCTCGGCTGGAATCTACCCAGAGTTGCTGAGAACTTCACGAGTGGGGGCTCTTTGAGAGTGTTGTGTTGTGTGAGCTGAACCCAATCAACACCGAATCAAATTGTAGATCGATCTCGTCATATAAAGTTCGGGGGTGTACAATGGACCCTGTAGCGAGTTTTATTGCCATCTATATAAAACTTTGGCCATCTACAGTCTACTCCCATCCTGTAAACAGCAGCTTCTGGACCCAGCAGCCAAGATGAATGAGTAGAGTAGCTGGCACCTCAACTTCCAATCTTGGGTGAAGTCAGATATTTGTGTGTTCTTGTCCAATTGCATCCTCCAGGAGCCCTCAGAAGAATTGCACATGACACCAGAAAAAGCTGGCCTTGACGGCCATGCATGTGTCTCCTGCTACGGGAGAGGAACCAAAAAGAGTGCCATCCTCGGTGCACCCCTCCTTCGTCCACCTTCATGCCTCGTCACATCTTGTCACTGTTTAGGGGAGCTTTCTTTAAATACAATGTTAATATTATATATATATATATATGTTTTAAAAAATATGATGCACATATATATTCAATATATATGCATATGGGTTATATATTTTTCAGGATATGCTGTGTCCCATGAGGAGACTGCTACTACGGACATCATCTAATCCAGGGATTGATAGACGGTCTCTTCCAATTGGTACGAAACACCGACAGCTACGAAGCACCGGGATCTACGACTGGACGACTGTCCTTCGGCCCAACGAGCTGTCCTTCCGGTTTCCCAGGAGCTCCTGAGAATCTCGGTGTGCAGACCTTCTCGTTTTGAGGCGTGGGGGGGACATCGATGGTCTTCCAAACGATGGCGGAGATAGATTGATTAATTCCCATCTCAAGGAGTGCTGCAACAGAAGGTGAAGGTGAGGGCGGTAGGTGGATGGGCTCCTCTGGGCGGTCGGTGCATAGGGCTCCTTCCTTCTTTCAGGTCACAACTGACCTCTCTCTCTCAGACTGACCAGCTAAATGCATCGGTGGCCCCGACCAAAAGGTAGGCAGAGGCAGGACACTCGGGCTTTTTCAGGGGTACCAGCTTCACCAGCAGGGGTACCTTGCTCCCCGGCTCGGCAGCCCAGCAAGGCACATAAAGGTCCTTCGGAAGGATTGACCATCACAGAATGGCCAGATGACTTTGAAAGCAATTGTTGTCCACCCTTTGCCTTCAGAGCTGGGGGACCACCCACAAGCAGCTCCATGGCTCCATGGATGCTTTGCCCTGGTGCGTCGGTATGTCTTTTTTGATTATTTTATATATGCATGCTTGATTGGTCCGCCAACTTCGAGCCAAGGGCCGATGACTTTGGGAAGGATCCAGCAATGCCACACATGCTAAACCACCACCCTACAGCCGAGCTCGGCTCTGGCCTGGTTCAGATTGATCGAAAGCGTTCGACTCTTGGGTCCTGGGGCATCCCCCCGATGCGAAGCCTGACGTTTTTCCCAGACGGATCGCACAAATTGAGTCAAAAATTGCTGGTCGATTTGTTAGGTACCAACATGTAACCATGATGCATGCATCATTTTAGAACTGGTCAGAAAGAACGGCAGATGCTACCTGGTGGCTTGACCACTGGCCCATGACAAACCCCCCAGAGGGTCGAAGGAAACGCGATCCAAAATCAGTCCACAGGTGTTGGTTTGAAGCATCGTCGAACTGACGGTGCTTTGACCACTTCATTGGTACCAATGTTCCATCCATTTCCTCCAAAGAGGAGCCAGATGAAGCCAGTGCGCCAAGTGACACCTCTTCACAAGTGAAGCCAAGTGAAGAAGAACCACGAGCAGATGTGAAGAGGTGCACAGCCGTGCACAGCCGTGTTTCCAAACCGAAAAGAAACAAACGCCCCCTTGGCTCGCAAAAGGGGAAGATCTTTGACAGAGAATTACACCCATCTATACATGCATATATAGTGGTCCCCCAAGAGTATTCTTGGCACGGTTTCGAATAATTACATTCTTATTATAGTGGGGATCTACTTTTCTATCTATAATTGGTCCTGTTGAACTGCGCATCGGGAGCTTTCCCCCGCCTATAACTGGTCCTCTACGACCTGCGGAGCTTTCCCTGTGTGAGGTGAAGATCACTCCACCTGGTGAGCCGCTTGATTGAGCAAATTTGGGAGTTTGGCCAAAGTTGCGCCTCAAATAAGGTATCGGATGGCCTACTGTACCAGGACTGTTTGGGTGTCCTGGTTGGAGATCCAGTGGGCTGGGTAGTCCAGCCAGGACACCCAGGCAGGATAGTCTAGGGCCCCTAGGGCATAGAATCAACCATCTAATCAAGCAACAAAATCCAAGACTTTGGGGATACAAAGATCGGATGAACCGAAAGCACAGGTCCCGAAAGCGTCTGAAGTACGTGTTGATCCGGATTTTTCCGGCCTTTGGGTTGGAAAGGCCACACCTCTGCCAATCTTCTGAGATCTTCTGAGGGTTGGATTGAGGATGGAGATTTGCCACAAGATTCAGGGCACCTGCATTCTGCATGCGTGTTGGGTGACTCTGAGGTGTTCTTATTTTGGGATTTCATTTGGAGATGTGTCGTTCCGCTGCGTGTCGAACCAAATCTTGGGATCAGTGTCGATGTACATCTTCAACATGCTTGAAGTACCCAGACCATCCATGGGACTGGCATATTTACCACCCCAATGTATGCAAATATGGCAGTCCTCTGTTTTTGTCTTGGTCCAACCGTCCGGTGACTGGCACCGGAGCTGTTCCTGGAGCTGACACCCTCCTCCGACGGAGTTGGATTCTCCGAGCCAAAAAGCGACGGTGTTCGCTGGACTGATCAGCTCGTGTGGAACGTGGTCAGCAGCTTGGACCCAAACAACTGGGTTGCAACATGCATGGAACAAGCTAGAAGACTGCATGCATGGAACTGCGGTGTTCTAATGCAGCATGGAACAACTGGATTGCAGAGCTTTGGTTGCAGCTTGTAGAACACCGCAGTTTCGACACCAAACACAAAGAAGTTATCTAAACTGCTCAACTTCGCCTTGCCTTCGACTGCCCAGCGTGGCAGGCCCAGCGTCACTCCCCAGACCTTCACTCCGTTCGAAGGAGGCATGTTGTTGTTTTCTTTCCCTGTGGAGTTCACCACCTGTTTGGTCTTCGGAGTTGGTGATCCATGGTCCATGGGCCATAGGCAGCTGTTTGGTTTCTGGTTGGGGGCATGGCTCCATGTGAAAAGGAGTGGAGCCATCGCAGAGGCTGGGCCTCAAGTTGCACTATAAGAACAACTCTGCGGGAATTCACATCACCGCCATCACCGATGGAGGCGACCGATGGGATCTGGGTGGCGGTTGAAGGCGAGCGTGGGAGGGGACAGGAGTTCGGGAGTTGGCGGTGCGAACAGAACATGCACCGGTGATTTTTTCAGATGCAAAAGAGACCAAGTCACCTCAGGTGGAGCAGCACCTTCGTGAACCCGCGCAGCACGGGAACCCGTGGAACCCCAGAACTGAGAACTCGGCAGGTCAGTTGGCGAAATGGAATAGCGCCAATTTGGATCGGCAAGCGTTGCCAGGCGTGGGACGGGCCATGATTCGAATGCGCCGGGCGATCGAGGGGGGGTACGTGGACCCGCTTGTGGTTTCAGCCGGGCGTGTGGAAAGAGGTCGCAGATGGCACACTTTTTGTGGACATTGTGCCATCTATGCTTACTCTCAAACCAGAAAAAAAACACATCCCAGACGGTTTGTGGAGGTTCTTGTTTGCACTTCCTTTTGACATGGGCTTGACTGAACCCCCAGTAACATACATTTCGGGTTTCTCTCCGATGAGCTCATGGACGGGTCCGCGATGAGGTCTGCGCTCCAATTGAACCACCAACATCCTAGTTGACCCCGGGGAAATACTGTGTCCAAAGGCCAAATACGTGCAGTGTAGACCAGAGCTGTTTCCGTTCTTTGCTTAGCTATGAACCGTTAAGTAGAAGAAGATCTAGAAGACAGTTTTTTTCTACCATTATTAGGTTGGAGGCCATCGCTATAATAGTATGACCTTGTTCAGGGGTCAATGAATGACGATTGATGCCTTGTGGCCGCTTGCCTGGAACCGCGCGTGAGGAGATCGGATCGTGGCGTTGAACAGCAAGGAGATGCGAGGCGACAGGGCGGATCAGATGGTGCCCGTCTCGGGCGGTTGGGTGCAACAACACTCAAGCTCTTTTAGATGTACATGTAAGTTTCTTTTTAGTGTATTGGAGAAGAAGATGACTGACAGGTTCGGATTCAGTCATCTGAACCTGGTAATGGAGAAGAAGATGGCTCATAGGTTTTGTTCCATGTTTTGTTCGAAGCGAAACGCATGACTCGACTGATCTGGTGCGTGTCGGAAATAAGACGGCACGTTCTTCCAGATGACACATCACCAGTTTTCAGCCATGTTTCGGCCACCCAACTAAAACACCCCAAAGCAAAAAGCCTTCTTGAAGGGTCAGACCACTGCAGATGGACAGAGCGACAAAGGCATATCGAACCGGAACGCGTTACACGACGTCACGACGTTTCGAGGAATAGAATGGGTTGCTGGATCGAAGTGAATGAGCCGCAT